GTGCTCGGTACCTGACCGGCCCACAGCTCACCCACCAGGCGGTTTCCTGGCTCAGGGGCCGGTGGGGGGTGGAGGGCCACCTAATAAAGGGGCTTCATTTCAGGCCGGAAGAGAAGAAAATATTTACTACTGCACCTTCGATTGTATCTTTTCCTTTTTATTTTGGGGGGATTGGGTCAGTGTCTTTCTTCTGGTTAGTCGTCCGTTCTCTCATTTTCTCTCACTCCCGTGCGGTTGATTTATTTAAAGGTGTGTCAGCACGAGGCTCAAATGAGGAGCTGGGCCGCCTTCTTTCTGCTGACGGCCGGCCGTGCCAATAAGTCATTTTTTAGCTCATTAGCTAACGGAGGCTGTGAGCAGCGGGCCTCCAGGGGATTGGAACGAGGTGAAGTGATCTGTTGCCAGCTACGCTGCTCTTGAACTGGCCTTCCTTGGGGGAAATGAAAGGCTCGGCCAAGACAAGCTGGGGATCCCAGAAGGAAGATTGGGACATCAGAGTAACAATTAGAGTATTTGTGTGTTGGCATCCTGGCTTCGTAGGGCAAACGGTCTTAGAACATTCTCGTAGAAAAGGAAACACTACCGGAGTGTCCGTTTTTCGCGTGTTACGTGTCGGCACGGAAGCCGGAGGACAATGGTAGAGGCCGTGGGTGTCCAGAATGTTACGGGTCAGACTGGGCTACCCTAACGAAATACCGCAGATTGGGTGTCTCCAATACATAACTGTGTTTTCTCTCGGCTCCGGAGGCACGAAGTTCAAGGTCAGGGTGCCAGGGCTGGTTTCTGGTGAGAGCTCTTCCTGGCTCGCAGACCGTGCCGTCTTGCTGTGCCCTCCCTCGGGGAGAGATCCCTGTGTCTCTTCCTCGTCTCATAAGGCCACTTTTATGACCTCATTTAACCTCAGTTACATCCCTAGAGGCCTGGCCTCCAAATACAGACACATTGGGACTAGGGCTTCAGCATATGGATTGGGGGGCGGCGGGGAGGAGACACAATTCAGTCCAAGAAGACTTGGGATATCTCAAGGCTGTGGACAGGGGCTAACCGCACTTGGCCCCAGACCTGCTGACAGCCACAGGGTCCTTTACGCCGGCTGGGCACCCGTCTCCCAGCATCCCGAGCCCCTCTGCTGCCCGTGGTAGGGTGTGGGGGTCACACACACCAGGGACGCTGGTGGAGTTGTCGGGGCCCCTGGCCAAGAGTCCCCACCTCACCCCGCCGAGCACGTTGACGGCCCGGACTTAGAACCCTGAGCGTCCAGCTGGCGTTCGGCCACCACGGCCACCTTTGTCCCGCCCACCACCCCCGCAGGTGCGTTCTCAGGTGCTCGATGGCAACGGTGCGTCATTAGAGCTGCTGTTTGACTCCATCGTTGCAGCACCAACAGCTGCCACTTGCAGAGCGACGGCTGGGCCAGCACATCCTCCAGACATGCGGCCTCAGCCCTGAAACCACCCTGCCTTCCGTAGACCCGCTTTATGGGCGAGGGAGGGACGGCCCGAGAAGTCAGTGAAGGCGTGGAAGTCTACACCATGGAAGCAGGCACATAGATCCCGTCTCTCCGTTGCCAAAACCAAGGCCTGTGGCCCCACCGGCCTTGGGGCGATTCTCTTCTCCTGCCCTCGGCCACCGTGGAAAGCACACGGGGTAAAGCTTACCCACCCCCGCCCGGTGTATCGGGGTGCACGGTGACCGCAGGACACGGGTTCTAAACAACAGCAAGTGCTTGAGCATAAGTAGGGGGTTCCTGAATTCGCAAAACCCTCACACGCCCTTGTCTGAGTTCTCCGTTCCTACTTGCTGGATTTCAGCCACGAAACAGAAGCATTCCTGATTCAGACATGAAGTGGCCTCGCTTAGCGCTCCGGCCCCTCCCGGTATCCGAAAAAACAGCGAGGGGCCGAAGTCCTGTAGGGCCCAGAAGCCGGCGTGGAAAGCTTCTGCTTTTATTTTTTTTTTAATTTTTTTTTTCAACGTTTTTTATTTATTTTTGGGACAGAGAGAAACAGAGCATGAACGGGGGAGGGGCAGAGAGAGAGGGAGACACAGCATCGGAAACAGGCTCCAGGCTCCGAGCCGTCAGCCCAGAGCCCGACGCGGGGCTCGAACTCACGGACCGCGAGATCGCGACCTGGCTGAAGTCGGCCGCTTAACCGACTGCGCCACCCAGGCGCCCCAAGAAAGCTTCTGCTTTTAAACGGCAGAGAAGTTTTGGTGAAGAGCCGTGTTTCCGTCACGTGACGAAAGCCATACGTTAAACAGCTCTGGGGGCCAGGTGGACATGGGCTGGAAGAGGCAGTCCCCACCAAGAAGGCCACGTGGAGGCTTTGTTCTGTGTCCTTGCGGTATTCCTCGGGGACGGCCCCCAGCATCAGGCCTGTTTTCTGTATTTGAGTCGGTGGGGGCCGTGCAGCCCTATTGGTAATTGTCCCCTTGCTCCCGCTCCTGCAGGGTCACAGGCGGATCAGCCGTAAAGGCTGCCAACCTCCGGCCTTCCCTTGCAGGAACCCTCTCCAAGACCCTGTTCCTAATTTTACAGACATAACAGTAGAGCCTTCCTTCGAAAGAAGCTCCCAGACTGGTATTCAGCCCCATGAAATCTGGACCCACCTTTGTTCCGTAATTATAAACAGCACTGACTTTTAAAAAGCGAGGAATGGGGCGGGGTGGGGGAGGCTGCCTGGGTGGCTCAGTCACTTAAGCGTCCGACTTCGGCTCAGGTCACGACCTCACGTCTCATAGGTTCAAGCCCCGCGTCGGGCTCTGTGCTGACAGCTCGGAGCCTGGAGCCTGCTTCGGATTCCGTGTCTCCCTCTCTCTCTGCCCCTCCCCTGCTCCCGCTCTGTCTCTCTCTCAGAAATAAACATTAAAGAAAAAAAATTTTTTTAAATAAAAGCAAGAAGCGGTTTAAACACAATCATTCAGACACGCGTCGACTTCAATTTCAGTGAATTCAGGCGAGCTTGTTTGTGGGGTGACCAGATCCCAGGACAAAAACCGCCCCCCCCCCCCGCCGCCGCCCCACTTCCCCAGGAGAGCACACCGCCCGCAGGAGAGGACCCAGAAGCTGGGGGCCTTCTTCATTCTTCGGCTGGGATGTCCGAATATTAAAAAGAGAATTGGATAACTACAGCTAGGACGATAGTTCCAGTGTTCGGTTCCCTGTTTTATCCCTGGGTGATTTGGCAATGCGAATTAAAACCAAGCAGAGCAGAAGAAAACAGATCTGACTTTAATGCCCACCAAAAAACGAGAGCTAGCAAGTGGGGACTTGAGAATCTGGATGCACCCTTCACCATTGTCCCTTTTCATTTCATTCCCGTTTTGTTCTTGCTGTTTGGCGGTTTACGAAACGCACCAACGTATGTTAAATACATTTTAAATGCGGTTTTTTTCATAGCACGAGAAACACGATTTTGTTTGGAGAGTGTTGTCTCTCGCCCGCCCGGTATTTTGGCCCAGGCGGGGACAGGGTGCGGGCCGCGTCCAGCTTCAGCCTCGTCCCGGCTGCGGGGGTGGGTTCTCAGCTGTAGCCAAGTGTTTGTCCTGGAAATCTCTGAATGAAAAGGGTCGGGGGTCACCCTGGGGTCACTCGCATGGACCAGGAAATGAAGCAAAACTAATCCAGATTTGCTCCTGGAAGAATCTGTTTGCCTAAGTATTTAAAAACAGATTAGGGCTAACCCGACACTAGATCACTGGGAGCAGTGTAAACACGAGTAAAAGGTGTAAACAAGGCGTCTTTTCTGTCCTTCCGAAGAAGAAATGTCATGGTTAATGAGTTTTCTTTCTAGGGTGTCACGGAAGCCCTAAGTGATTCTCTGTGTAGTTTGTAGCTCTGCACCCTGATTATTCTCTTGGAGAAAACGCGGGGCTTTAGGGGGGGTTGGTTGTGAACCAGTGTATCATTTAAGTCTCTGGGGCATTAGAGTCCCTCTTCTCTGTAGGGCTTTTTTCTTCTTTCATTAAGCAGCCACAGACCTTTGCTTCGGACGGTGTGAACACGCTTTGCTGTGGGTCTCTTCCTTTCTGTCTCCTTTTGCCCATTCCCTTCCCATTCTGCCCTCTCCTCTTCCTCCCCAGCCCTCCTTCCAGATGTCACAGGCAGCATCCTGTGCCACTTGGACCCTGAACCCCGCCTTCCCCCAAAGTTCAGGAAGCACATTCTCAGCAGGCCCAGTGCTGCTGGGGGAGGGACGCCTGGGGCTGCTGTCTGCATCCCAAGGCCCTTCCCCGCCCTTCCCCAGGGTCCTCCCCTCCTGCACCCCTAGCTCAGCTCTGGCCTCGGGCCGCCTGCCTTGTCTCCTGGGCTGGGCCCTAGAACATCTTGATGTTCCCCACGTATCCAGAGAGATTACAGAATCACGTAGGAACTTAGTTAGCTTGTCTTTTCTAGACCTCCACATGGGGGTCTCTGCGGTTTCATCCGTGGGCCTGTAGTAAGATTTTCCTCAACTGAAGGATGTGGAGATCCCAGGGGGATCACATACTCCCTTCCGTGGGGAGGAATTAAGAGCTAAGAGTTCAAGGTCACACCCAGGTGTGGGGAGCCCACTGGCCATCCTGTACGCTGTGCTCCGCAATGTCCTCTGATCCCGACTAAACGCTGTCATTGCTTATCTGGCCTGTGGCATTCACCCTGCATCGTGCCAGACCCCGGCCAGGGGGGTGGTTCCCCCTGGCCACAGCTTCCGCGGCATCAGAACCCCCCACCCCTGCAGGTTCTGCAACCACCCCCCAAGAGGTTCTGACTCTGGAGGTCCAGGGCGGAGCCTGAGATTCTGCATTTCTGACAAGTTCCCAGCTGCTGCTGGTCAGGGACCCCACTTTGTAAAAAAAGTAAACCCGTCCCTCAGGGGGCTTCCTTGTGAAGATAACTCGTCTCCTGCTATCTCGCTTCCTCCCCGATGCCCCCGGACCACGTGGGTTCTGGAGCAGAGGGGTTTCGGCCTCGGCCACCCTTCCTGATTGCGACTGCACCCGTGTGGGGACTCTTGCAGGGAAGAGAAGGAGCGGTGGATCCGGGCCAAGTACGAACAGAAGCTCTTCCTGGCCCCGCTGCCCTGCACGGAGCTGTCCCTGGGCCAGCACCTGCTGCGGGCCACCGCCGACGAGGACCTGCGGGCCGTCATCCTGCTGCTGGCTCACGGCTCCCGGGACGAGGTGAACGAGACGTGTGGAGAGGGGGACGGCCGCACCGCGCTGCACCTGGCATGCCGGAAGGGGAACGTGGTCCTGGCGCAGCTCCTGATCTGGGTAGGTCACCGCGTACAGGACAGCATAGCCGCGGGCGCCTTGCTCTGCTCTGCGGGCATCTTTCTGGTGGGAGGCGGCGGGTCTGAAGATGGGAAGCACACGAGTAGGGAATTTGGAATTGAGGCGCGGAGGCCCCTGGCTGCCGGGCTCCCCTGTGTGAGGACGCCGCTTGAGGACCGATCAGAGGGAGGGAGGGGGTCCGCGGGGCCTGCTCTGCCCAGCCCTCCCTCGCTGGGTGTCTGCAGAGCTCATCTGTCTCATGACCCCTCTGGGTCAGGTGCGGGTGGAGTGTCTGTCCTGTTCCTTTTACAACCAACTGCCGTCCTCTGTGTTTGGGAGGGGGGTGGAGGGGGAGAATACAGCTACTTTATATGGTTTTCCCTTTACCCAACCCAGAAATACTGGACCCAGTTTGATGGTAGGACTTTACCAAAGGGCTTCTTCTGGACTGTTCTGGTTAACTTCCACTAGGGAAAATTATTCTGTTGTTTGTTTGTTTGTTTGAGAGAGAGAGAGAGAGAAAACGCAAGTAGGGGAGGGGCAGAGAGAGAGGGAGACACAGAATCCGAAGCAGGCTCCAGCCTCTGAGCTGTCAGCACAGAGCCCAACGCGGGGCTCGAACTCACAGACCGCGAGATCGTGACCTGGCTGAAGTCGGACGCTCAACCAAGTGGCACACCCGGGCGCCCCTAGGAAGAATTATTCTTAGATTTCTACGGACGCATTCGTCATGAAGCCTGAATGGCGACAAGAGGGGGACAGTGTGTAGAGCCGCGGGCGCCTGAGCAGCCCACACCCGCGGTGGCACGACCCGCACACCTCTGGGGCTCAGCCATCGCGCATCCCCACCGAAGGGCGACAGAAGGCAGCCTGCCGAGAGGTCCCCGGGGGGGGCGGATGGCGGTGCTTACCCATAGTAGGACCTGGATAGCGGTAACAGAGGACTGCTCTGCACCCTTGTGTTTTACATACAGATTTCCCCCAATGAAAGGGAATCACCTCCGAGATCAAGAAGTGCTTATTTTTTGTTTTTACGATTGGAAAGGCAGAATAGAACTAACAAAGCCAGGATTACCCTCGGTCTCCTGCAGAAGGGAGGGCCTTCTGGGTGTCAAAAGCGCATGGTTTCTTTCAAAGGACACGCCGTGGGGCCGACTGTGGCCTCTGGCCATCTGTGTCCCTAGCCACCTCGTCTGTAGCCCTTCCCGGGGTGGTCCGTCCCCCCTCCCCCGCACGAGCTGCCGCACGGCTTGGAGAAAGGCGCCTCCTGGTCCCCTCCTCCCCCCCGCGACCCTAACGGCCCTCTCCGTTGCCTCCGCAGTACGGGGTGGACGTCATGGCCCGCGACGCCCACGGGAACACGGCGCTGGCCTACGCCCGGCAGGCGTCCAGCCAGGAGTGCATCGACGTCCTGCTGCAGTACGGCTGTCCGGACGAGCGCTTCGTGCTCATGGCCACCCCCAACCTGTCCAGGAAGAACAATAATCGCAACAACAGCAGCGGGCGGGTGCCCACCATCATCTGAGGACCGCCGGGCCCCCGCAGCCTCGCGCCCTCGCCCAGAAGTCACGACACGTGAGTCCCGTCGCGTCCCCACTCCTCCTGGCGGGCAGCCGCCCACCCGCCCTCACCCCGCGCGCAATCACAAAAGCCTGACCGTCCTCACGGGGGCGCAGCGGAGGCCGCGAGGCTGCAGGACCGACTCCTTCCCCCCCCCCCCCGAACTGCCCCCCACCCCCCGCGACGAGCAGGGGCTGCCCGGGGGGGCCTTGGTTTCTTGATAGCACACCGCGAGGTCCCCCGGCCCGGCGGCCTGTGGACACAGAGCACGGCACAAGGGACGGGGACGAGAGGGGGAGGGGAGGCGGGGAGCAAGGAGAAGGGTATCTCTCCTTAACTGGCAGTTAAGCACATCAGTACATTTCACCTCCACCAAACGGAACACTCGGATTTCATCTCTTCTCCGAGGAGCTTGACGGCATAAATCAGAAGCAGGCAGAGTTTGTCAGGTTTGAAGCCCCTATGATGGTATGTGTCAAATCAGTTGTAGCTAATCTGTCCGGGGAGAATACTGGCTTCATTACACTTGTATAGTAGAGTTCTTCCAGCATTACCGCTGTTTAATAGAACATGATTAGTCATCACCGAGAAAAAAGCATATTAGCCGAGGAGGTAGTTACACAGCACGCTCGGATGCTTGCCACGATGTGATTGCAATACTTCTTAGAAGCATCATATCATCTCAGACATGTTCTTTCGAGCCCTTGGAGCCCTTCTTTCTAAATTCACTGTCATAATTTAGTATCTGTTTAATTTTTCAGTCCAAAGAGAGGAAATCAGTTGCTGAGTATTATTTGACTGCCGTCGCTCTCTTGGTGCAAAAACAAAATGGAAAAAATAAATAAGGGTAACTCGGAAATTCAAAAGGAAATCACGGATCCAAGCTAATAATAACCCTTCGAATACACGTAGTGAACTAACCGAAGGCATAAAAGGCTATTTTTTTTTTTTTTTTTTTTTTGCCCCAAACGGCAGAGGTCTTTTACTTCCTTTTGCCAAGGTGGAGGTCTTGGGTCTCGGTCACTCCTGGGCCATGCCGGAGTATCACCCAGGCTTCTGTGTTATGTCTTTAGATAAGATTGTGAAAATCTATTTGAATAAAAGAAGTTCATAAATATGCATTGATTTTTGTACAGACAAATGTCACCTCTGCTAATTTATAAACTGAACTAGATGTGAACTAATAATGTGCAACTAGTTGAGATGAGAGGGTTACAGATCATTGTACATGGAAAACACTCCCAGCAGCAAACACTTCCATTAATGTGATAGACAGCTTTGAAAAAGGAACACATCAGAAGAACATAGTAGTACAATTTGCTTATTAAAATCGAGAAAGGGGGAAAAAAAAAAAAACCAGACACTGAAGCGTTTTAGAGAAGAGGAAGGCGGCATGTGATTTCTCATCATTTCGATCTGATGGCACTTCTGCCGACCCAGAGGAGGGGCCGTGGCAAAGCAGGGGGCGACTTTGCGAATCCCAGACCCACGTGCTCTGCACAGGCAGGTCACGACCGGCCGCCCACGGCTCTGCGGCACCTGCCGGCCGGCGAGAATCGCTAAGGCTTAACTTGGCGGCCAGGCCGTCCGTTTGGGTTATCAGCACGTCCCCTGGTCTGCCGTCACTGTGTGCCATCGGGGCTGCTTTCAGACGCTAGCCACCTTCAACGTGGCCAGATCGTGACACCCTGGGTTAAAAAGGAAAGGGGCAGCTTTGCCTGGAGCGCTTTAGCAGTATGTGGGAGGAGAGGGTCGTCCAATGGGAAGGCGCCTCTGGGCTGCTGTAGCACAGAAACCAAGGCCACGCTAGGCCAGTGGCCGCCCCCCCACCCCGGGGAAGTCCCCTGCTCTCATATATGAAACCTTCTATTTTGTCAGAGTTTTCCCTCTTCTTTCACTTTAAAAAAAAAACACAATTCAAGTAGGTGGGGAAAAAAATAAAGCTTTACACAGAATTTATATGTGGGTCAGTGTTTCAGGGACATTTGTAACCTTGCTTCCTCTGCGTGGAGCCCAGCGGGCTCCAGGAACGATAGGTTCAGAAGGCTGAGAGCCCTGACCACAGGTCCCTGCTCCTCCCCCTGGTTTTTAATTCTGTGTTTCATCACTGTGTAGTTATTTTAAATGTGAATAGGGGAAAAAAATGTCACTGCCTATTTTTGAAGAACTCATTACTGTTCTATTCCACCTGGACACATTCTCCTCCGCACAGCCTTTAGCGTAGACTTCACGTAGCGAACGCAGATATAGTATAAATGAAATTCTTAAATTATTTCACTGTAGTTAACTCCCACTATAGGAACGCCCTATCATATAGCGAAGCCTCGTTTTGAAAACAAACAATTCCTTGTAAGGCTTCTCTTCGAGATGTATATGAGTGTGTACATATTATTATATGTGTTTATAATATAATATTTTCCCAAATGACTCCTTTTTTCACTTAGCCTTTCACGACCTGAATGCTAGACCGGGTTCCCCCCACCTCCCCCACCGCACCCCTTCCCTCTCTCCGGCACGGGGACTTCATTGATTCCTCCTCAGAAAACCTGACCCTTCTTCTGCTATTTTTAGCCATGCTTCGGGATTCGGCCTGCTTTCCTGAGCCCGAGTTTTGGCAACAGAGGAAAGGCAGTGGTGGTTTTCAAGGGTTTTCCTCTAAAGTAAAGTGACTGATGGCTAATCTGTTTATATTTCAGTGTCAGACCAGAAGGGCTTTCTTCGCCAACGATGCTATCATTCCCATCTTAGAGCCTTACGTAACACCAAGGCCAGGAAGCCAAAACCCAGGGCTAGTGTTAGAAATAACCAATTTGGGAAGGGGGTCGAGTTGTGTTCGTTGGTTCTCGTGGAAGTTCTGCGAAGTGACCGTGAGGACACCACTGCATAGTCCAGCCTCTTCTGTTCAGAAGTAGAACTTCCCTTACCGAGAAACCACGTGCTGGGGAAGACACACACGCACGCAGTCACGGGTTAGGGTAGCTTCACGATCTGGCTGGATTCCTTCTGTGCCCCAGAAACCCTGCAGAGAAAGGAGCCTTGATTCTCACCCCGTGAGAGCAGATCTCCGGTACTGGGCGGAAAGGTGGCTCTCCAAGCCCAGAGCCCCAGTCATGGGGCCCCGGCCGGCCCCCGCCCGTCTCCTGTCATCCTAGGAGAGGAGCGGCTCCAGGGTGAGCGGGTGACAGATTCCCGAGTCTGTGGCCCCATGAGCAGGTGCAGTTGTTGGTCTCCCAGTGAACGCACACCGCGCGTAATTATCCCAGGAGGCAGGGGGAGGCAGGGGGTGCTCGCTGACTTCTGAAGCTTTGTCTAGCCTGATGGGGTCGCCTTGGACCCAGCCTCTGCCGTCTGGCCTAGGGACCGTTCTTTGCAGTTTTGTAACACCTGCACGCATTCAGGGTCATTGTCTACATCCTCAAAGCAGCGGTCACTAACTTATAGGGGAGAGCGTGGTCCAGTGAGAAAGACAGCCCTGGCTCTCCTGTCCCTCCTGTGTGGCCTTGGGCAGAGGCCCCCAGCTTTGGGGATCTTTTTCCTCATCTGTGAAACCGGGGTGGCCTTGCGGGATCTGATGACCAGTCGGTTGCCAACCAACGTGATAAAAGCCAGCCAGACACCCAGCCAGAGGCTGGATGCTCAGGAAATGGGATTGTTCATTTAGAACAGGAATGCCGAGAGCAGAAAGCCAGAACCCAGGCCTGGAGAGCTGCCCCCAGGCTGGCGGTGCGTCCCCCAGCCAGGACCCTAGGGAGTCGGTGACGGCCCCCCCTTCCCGTCTGAGCCTCTGGGCCTCCCCTCTGCAGGGCCAGTCAGTGCCCTTCCCCACCCCTGCGTGCTGGGAGCAGTGTCAGAGGAGGGGCCTCGCTGGAGCGGCCGTCCCTTTCAGGGCTGGCATCAGGCTCGGCTTGTCTAGTCCCTGCACTTGGGGAACACGTCTTCCCCGTCAAGGGTGGCCACTGGGTCCTACCCGGCCCCCAGCCCGAGCTGTGCTCGAGGATGACCTGGGTCACCGCGGCTCCAGCTGTGCCCACCCTTCCTCCTCGCATTTAGAATGTTCCAGAAATAAGTCCACATTCCCACCTAGGGAGGTTCAGAAGCCTTGCAACAATATAGAGCCTCTAAGAGTAAGTATGGTCAGGCCTCAAAAACTTCTCAAAAGGCAAAGATAATTGGAAAGCGAATCCATTACCCCTCGATGGGCCCCTCCCCCCTCCCCCCTCTGCGCGATTTCCATCCCTCACGCGCCCCACAAGGTCGGCCTGACTTTCTAGAACTCCCCTGGATTGTATTTATGTCCTTCAAGCAAACAAATTGAAAAGCAGTCAGGAAGGAATTCGAATAGAAATGTGCTGAAGAATCACATCTTTCTTTCCCGGGAAATATAATTTATTTCTCACTGGCCTCCTCAAATGGGGGTTTCGCACCTTGTGACGTCCTGTCTTCAAGTGATTCTCACCCCCATCCTTCACCAAAAAGCTAAATAAGGGCCTTTGGCATCCAGACTTGGATTTTTCACTTCGGGCCATTATCGACACGTTTCCTGCTTGAATTCCCAAGTGGCTTTCTTCTGGAAGCCCTGTGGTCAGTGAGCCCTCGGTGTGGGCCCCCGCCCACTCCGTGCCCTACACCCTGATGGCTCGGTCATCGTTCAGACGTCGAAATTAGGTTGCCTTTCAGTCAGAATATTCAAAGTTGAATTGAATATTCAAAATATCCAACTCCAGTTACTACGCAGAGGAGAGAAGGTGGGGGCGGGTTAGATGGAAACAGACTTTTATTTCCGTCGTCGCCAGGAAGTTGTCCCTGGAACCCAGAATGGCCAGGCCCCTCGCGAGGAGAGAGAAACAGTGCCACTCGGGGTCAGCACGCCCCCACTGACCCGTCACCTCTCCCTTCGTGAGGAAGAAAGGACAGGTAGCAGCTTAGAATTCATATTTCAAAAACACCCTTGGAGGAGAAGGGCTGTCCTTACATAGATTTTTTTTTTTTTTTAAACAATATTAACGGACTTCCTGTTTAATTTGGGATGTCTGCTGCTTTTTAAACATACATTGGCACTTCTTTCCAGTTCCGGTTTTTCGGTTTGGGCAGAGTGGCATTTAGAGGACGAATTCATCAGCCCTCAGCACGGGATTCTGCAAAACCAGAGAGTCTGTTTTTTAGTCTGTGATCTTCAAAACCCCCAAGTTCTAGAAGGAGTTTGGTTTCACCAGTGTAGGAAGCACCGTCCCAAAGCAATGAGTCAGGACCGCAGATTTGAAAACCGCTCTCACCGCGTTTCACTAATGAGGCCCTCGTTTCGTTCTCATGTGACGGCATTTGGTTCTGGGGCTTGCACCCGGTTGGTAAAAATGCCCTTCTCCGAGGCCTTCCCATCCAAAGGGCCTGCGGTGCCCGGGGTACGTGCAGGGCAAGCCACCTTGGTCAGTGTGCGAGGGGTCAGCTCAGGGCTTGTGTTTTATTTTGGCCTGGTGTGTGTGGCTTCTGTAGAGAAGGTCCTCCGAGGGTCACGTTGGAGCTGTATGCTAGAGACTCGCCTGTCAAAGTCGAGTTAGGTCCCCTCTAGAATATTCCCTGGCGGCAGGGACATCCTGTCTTCTGTTTTGAGACGCGGGTAAAAGAAAAGAACCACACAGATGTGAGAGCTTTGGGGAATCTTCCAAACGGAACAGCCCGGTGTTGGGAGCGCTTGCCCCTAAATCAGAGTCTGCCCTGACCTCCCCGTACCTCCCCAGATGGTGTCAACACTGGCCTGGGAAGCTAATATCTGAGCTGGCCCAAACTCATGTGAAGAAGATGGGGCCCCGACCCCAGAAGCCCACGCAGTTAGGGATTCCTCGTGTAAGATGGCCAGTGTCCGGGCTGGATGAAGGACGTTCCGGGGCTTTCCAGCTTAGCACCTGGATGTTGAAAGCCTGAGTGGGCAGCCCAGCCGATGTCCCCTGCACCCTGCTCTGCACCTGACATGCCGCTGAGTGGCCTGGGGGACATGTGCATCCTGCCCGGGCCCTTGGAGGGTCAGGGGACAGTGGGGACCAAGGGTGCATGGGCCAGAGCCGGGAGTTAGCTCACTGACCACTCTCAGGAACACAAGCACGCCTTCCAGCCCCGCCCCCGGGTGCCCAGGCAGATCTGAGAGAGGACTGGGTTGTCACACGGCTCATGGGCAGCAGATAATGCTTAGAAACCGCTTTGCGGCCGTTCGCACATCTCGAGGTTAGAAATCACGTCTTCTCCAACCCTTGAAAAGATCGCGGTTCCCCTCCTGCAGCTGTCCTTTTGTCTAAAATCTGTCAGATTCTTGAGGTGGCACCCCTGCCCCCGTCTGAGCACCCGCGTGCTGGGGAGGATGCCGCGTGCGCTTGACCAAGGGCACTCCGCAAAGCCTTGGGAGGCCTGGGCCGGCTGCCCCGGGAAGGGCTGGAGGGGTGGGCCACGCCAGCCACGGGCACGGCCACGTGGGTTCCAGGAGAGCTTCCTGCCCCAGACAGTCCCCTCCTCTCCTGCCCATGACCTCGAATGGGGTTCTCGTGTGGCCACGGGTGTGTTTCTGAACGGGAGCGTGGGCAGGTCAACGGTGGCAGCCAGGAGGCATTTCTAGGAGGGAACAGGGAAGGCCGGGTCCCTGCCCGCCTCCCAGCACGTCTTGTTTCTGTAAATAGCGATGTATAGAAGACGGAAGAGCGGCCCAGGGTTTATCCAGAGACGGCTTTGGTTTCTTTGGGTTTTTTTTTTTTTTCCTTTTTTTGGTTGTTTTTCTATTACCTCATTCAGCAAGTTTGTTTCACAAGGACTCAATGACGCTTTATTTATACTGTTTGTACTGTAATTAAAACCATTGACAGACATTTCACTTTGCTTGTTATTTCTTATGATTTTGTTTTGATTAAATATGCCAGTTTGTATTTTCCTGCATTGGGATTTTTTTGTGTCGGCTGTACAGTATTCTAAGGGGGAAAAAAAAAGAAAGAGAAAAATGTGTAAAGTAATGGAGAGAGGTGGCTATAGTGTAGAGGCCTCTTTCTAATAAAGAAATGAAAATATGTCTACACTGCTTTCCGTGGAGGTTTTGTTGGGCTTTAGGGGGGAGCGGGGGGACGTGTTGGTCATTTGTCACGACTAATTGGATTTCGGCGCTCAGGCGAGGTAAATCCGAGAGAAGAGGTGATTACAGAAGGGAGTGTGCAAGGCCCAGGCGGCCTCTCGCATGAGGAAGTCGGCACGCGGGTGCTGTGGTCGTGGCGCGAGGGGACGTTAAGGAGCATCTCTTCCAACTTGTCCGTCTACGAGCCACTCTAAGGGGCGGTGGTTTCCCCAGCCCGAGATTGGCTGGACCACACCGCCCCAGACGTGTGAGGAGGGCTCAGCAGGTGGCTAGGGAGTAAAACCATTCCAGGACGCTGTTATGAATAGTGTCATTATTAATA